GCAGGATGCAGCGCACCCTTCATGCGACTCGCCGAATATCTCACGGCGCTTCGCGCTTGGTGATGTGAGAGCCTGGTCCGGTGAGAACCCGGCGTGCTCCGTCCCGGCTTTGTAGGGATGCGAGGTCAATGGTCTAACGACTACGACATGCACGACTATGAGTACCCCCCCCCCCCCCCCCCCCCTCCCCCCCCGTCGTTTCAACAGCACCCAACCGTCATTGACCGGACCGCAGTCGCACGCGAGACCCCCTCTCTAACCTGTTAGCGAGCGAGAACTGTATCTGGTTGCTGCCAAGTTTGACTCCTCTCGCTTTCAGGGCCGCGTGCGCGTCCTTGACGGCCTCCGGTCCGTAGTTGCTCACGCCCACCGCCTTTCACACGGAAACGCGGGAAGGGGAGATGAGGGAAAGAGCGAGACATGGAGAGATTGAGAGAGAAAGACAGAGGGACAGAGAGACAGAGAGACAGAGAGAGAGAAAACGCCAAGTAGAGCAAGATAAGAATGAGCGTGGGGAACGGGTGCTAATAGTAAGCCGGAAGGGTACATGAGAGAAGCAGGTGGTTGCGCTCGAACAAGAAAATTGGCGTTGCTGCAGCGGGGACTGCGGTCACATGCCCGGTGCGCCGCGCGGGACACGGTCACATGGTGGTCGGCCGCCGACATGGCTACCTTGTAGCACCATCATCGCACCACAATCACCACCCGCACCGCGAGGATGATCAAAAACAGCAACACCCACTGCGGTGGCAGCACGACCAACAACAACAGCAGCACCAGCAGTACCTAGAGGCAGGAGGTAGCAGCAATAGAAAACACCTGTTATTCATCACCACCGATGACGACAAGGAACGGCCAAGCCGACGACCACGACGACAAGCAACAAACAATGAATAACACTAGCAAATAACTAATAAGATCAGGAAACACCAGCAACAACAATAACAACAGTAGCAGCAACAATAACAACGATAGCAGCAGTAACATCATACAAAATAACAACGCTCTCGACACTACACTAGAACGTTCCGACCTCCTAACCTTTACGAGGCCCTGGTCAACGCAGTCCGCCAGACCGTCCCAGTAGCGCGAGTTCAGCGCCCCGAACGGCCAGTGGATCTGATAGATCTCCATGCTCTCCGCCCCCATCCGGTCCAGCGACGCCCTGGTGTTTTCGTTGTTGTTTCAATGGAGTGGTATGAAGCGGTTGAGGTACATGGGTGAAAACCTTGCAAAACACGGCAGGCTCGAAAAAACCTTTGAGCTAGGGATGGCGGACGGGACGGCACCAATGAAAGTGCCAACACCTTTGTTTTTTGGCATCAGCACACAAAGTCGCTATCCGCGTTTCTTGCTCGGTACTTTTTTAGCCCCATCAACAACTCATACCAGATACCAGCTGAAACACAGACAAACAAACGTAACAAAAAAAACTCACTTGCAGGCGTCAACCACGGAGCCACGTCCCAGTCGCCACGGAAGCGGGGCGAAGTTGCTAGCTGTTGACACCAACCAAAATTATTTGGCATGCGAGGGGACGGGAGCATAATCGAAAGGGACGCGATAGCGGGGGGTGAGAGAGGGGGCTGTTGGGTACCAGGTGCTGCTCAACGTACTGCGTTTCGGTTGCCCTTGACCCACCGGCCACGCATCGCTTCGGAAAACAACCTGTGTTGAGCACACTAGAGGTATCTGGGAAACCTTCTTTACGTTGCAGCCAGCTACGATAGTCAGTAGGGAATATGTTGCCGACACGACTTGATGGCCAGAGAGAAGGGGACGTGTTGGCTGCTTATTCCAAGACCAACACCAAGCAAGTACCACCTGTTTATCGGCGACCGGGCGTCACATCTGCAATACAAGAGAAAATGAAGTGTCACGTGCCTATATCTACGAGGATCAAAGGTAAAAACAGAGGAACAAAAAGCTGCGAGCACTGGAGAAAGTGCGCAAGTAGTGGAACACGAGAGGCCTATCTATCTGAGCTGTACCGGGGCCTCCGGAGAAGTACGGGCACAAGATGAAACGCAGGGTCACTCGGTGAGCTGCGTGCAAACAGGGCGACAGGCCTTACTGATTAACGTTGACTGTGACTCACTGTTGTCTTAATTTTGACTCAGGATTACTGCTGTCTGGCTGATGATTCACTACGTAATACTGTCTTGTAACATGATTTCGTTGTTGCTTTCCCGCTCTCTGCACACGATAACTCACCGATAACTATTCCGTTCTTGTCGATTCCCTTGTAGTCCCGCCTGAACTTCCCGCAGAGGTACTCCGATCTCCCTACCCCGTACACCTCGGCCGTGTCGAAAAGATTCACCCCCCCACCCACGCAGTTGCCAAACACCTGTAGGTGGTTGTTTGATAGTGTGAGACGGGGGGGAACAGCAGCAGCAACAGCAGCAGCGGCAGCAGCCTCGTATTGAACTTGTCGAAGCAACAGCAGCAGCAGCAGCAGCAGCAGGCTTTGGTCGCTACTGATGTCGGCTCCGACTTCAGAAAAAAGCACAGTAGGTTCTTGCCCGAGCAACTGGGATTGGAGCACAAAAGCAGCAGCAACAGTGATGACCTGGTTGGGTGAAAACGCCCAGAGTAGAACGCCCGGCTATCTCACGTCTCATACGGTGCGACAAGGAACTGTTTCACCTTGTGTTTTTTCTCTAACTTTTGACGTGCTATACTTCTCTCACCCTCTTCCCCTACTTATTTTACACGACATACACAAACTGCATCACCAGCAGCGAAAATAACTCAACCTTCCGCACACTAAGGAGCCTCCTCACGGCATACGGCTACCTGGTCCCCCCCCCTCCGCGCAATGGTCAAATGACTACGGCAAGCAACAAATGAGTACGCCCCCCCCCCCCCCCCCCCCCCCCCCCCCCCCCCCCCCCCCCCCCCCCCCNCCCCCCCCCGTGCGCGGACGCAGACAAACAGGAGTTCACCTTCTCGGCTGTATGCTGTTGCTGGCATTTGTGGCGAGGTTCAGGTACAACTGTACCATGGTGGTAAACAAAGGTGAACATATAACTCGGCACACAGCAGAGTTGCCCAACCTACCTTTCTCACTCGGTTCGACAGAGTCGAAAACCCGCCTTCACAACCCCGCATCAAACCCATGCCGCCGAGTCCTCGTGCTACAAGCTCTCCCGACACAGGGCCATACCACACCCACCTCCTGCAGCTCCTTGTCCATGGCTTCGCTGTAGCCCCAGAACACCGTGTCCCCCCACGACCAGGCCCCCACGCCCAGGGGGGACACCTCAACCCCTCCCAGGCTGACCCTGTCCTTAGCGGCCAGGGCCACGTCCTTCGCCCCTTCCATGGCGGCCTTGCCAATGCTGTCCGCTCCGTCCTTGATTGCCGCGGCTACCCCGTCAGTGGCTTTCTCCGCCGCGTCGACGATGTCTTCGTCGGCCATCCTGTTGTCGTACCGTCGTTTTTTGGTTCCATCGATTCATTTGTTCGAACGGTGTACAGTGGGGGGGCGAAAACAACGCCGGTTAACTAGCGCCGGTGGCCCTGAATAGCGCCGGTGAAATTGCGGGCACAGAGTGAACCGCCACGTCGTCCTGTACGGTGAATAGCGCCGGTCGATGCGCCGGGCATGTCCCGGCGTTATCGAGGGCCCACTGTAATAAAGAGCTGTTTCCGGGAGTAATTCCGAGCAAATTAGAACCGCGTGAGGAAAGGTGGAGGGAAAAAAACACTCCCCGTGTATACCTTCCTCTTGTGTGACCCCGCCCGGCTGGTACGTGAAAAAAAAAAAAACACTAAAATGCGTAGTCTACAGCGGTAGCTGGCGCTCACATTAGACGCGCCGGAAACAAATTCAGAACAAGGCGCATGATACCGCGTTCAAACGGGACATAGATGTGGATATGTGACGGGAGCAATGCTGTACGCACTCTGCATCTCGCCCTCTCTGCGGCACAATACAGAAAAAGCGCCAGCACAACCGGGAATCCCTGCAACTCGCTGGACAGGACAAAAACGTCGTCTTGGTTTCCATGTGTGTTCATGGAGTTTTTACTTTCCAGCGTAGATATATATGTACCTTTGTTGGCTACAGACATCATTTGCTGCTGTAGGTAGTTTTTCTATTCTAGGCGCCAGTCTGCACACCTTCGTAGTTGTTTGATCCACCAACCCAGGGGTCATGTATCTACAGATTAGACCGTTCTACAAGTTGTTTCCAAGGAGTTTCGGTCTGCACAGAGTAGCCTAGCCCTCCCTATTTTAACACTCTCTAGAGCGTTCAGCATCCACCACGTTTGTGTTTACTCACGGCGATACGTATGTTTTCCACGTAAATCATTTTCTCCTTACAGATTCGAACCCGCAATCCATGCATGCTACAAGAGTGAGAGGAAGAAGTCCCGAAGGTTGCCAACACGTGAAAGCGGCGCAATCGCTGCGTAGTCAGCCATGGGTTACATTTGTAAAGCGGGTGCGTGGCGAAACACCAACAGGAGAAGGAGCTCCACACACCACGTGCCCATTCCACGGCATTGAAGGGGAAAGCCGTTCGATGCAGATCATGAAGGGCGCGGGATATTTGGAGGGTGGTTGGTGCGTGTATATCCAGGCTGCGTACACGCAGAACACAAAACAAGTCAGACAGGCAGCGAAACTAACCAAAATCTCGTCGGGAGAGGATGGCCCCTCCCACAAGTGAGCACTGACACCCCCCCTTCCCCTCGCCCCCCTCGGCAACAACTGTCTTTCAGGCCACCTACCTAGGAAGAAACCAGGGTCGGCAACACCCTGCAGTTGTTGTTGAGTGTGGGGCGTGGGGCAGAAGAGTCGTGACTCACCTCATGCGCTGGTGAAGTGGTCTTGATGTTGCTGCGTGACAGCCGGCTCTTCGCCCAACCAGAGTTGACGCTCGGGGCGAGACAAAAGCATCAACGCTCAGTGAGGCCACAGCCAGTCCCGTGGCCAAAATAACACGTACAGGAGCCATGCCTTGTATTAGTCCAGTCGGCGTTGTCTGAGTTGTCAGGTGGGCAAGATGTGCTACGTACCTGTCCAGGCGGGTGGAAGAGTGCGGGCCAACAGGTGCCGCTTCGTGGCGGTAATTGTAGGTAATTGCGTTTCCCAGTTTCCAGCATGTCCCCGCTCTACTACAGAGTTCCCCCGGCGAACCGTCGGATACCACATGTGTTCCCTTTCTCTCTCTTCCCCCACTCTCTACGGCGCTTACAACATGAGGAGTTTATTGGTAGCGGCTACGCTCACTGCCGTGGCTTCGGGGGCTAGCCCGGCGCTCGGCTTTCTTGCGTCGGGCAACGGTGCGGTCCGGTCGACGAACAAGGTGAGCGTACCGGGAGTGACATCGCAAAAGAGGCACGGCGCATTCCGATCGACACACACACACCCATCACTCCTCAGGGCGGCTTGGGCGCACTAAGAAGAGACTTTGTCGTCCTTGTTGACCCCCGAATGCTGTGAATCGGTAACAACTGTATTAATCGAATCAAGCAAACATCTCGTGGCATCTGGTCCCGTCTAGACTAGACTATGCATGTACAGCTGATCGACTGCCAGAGCTTGCTGCAATATATCGCCTTCCTCGCACAGGAGAGCAGAGGCAATGTTCGTGTCAGGCGAGTACTTCGTGTATAACCAGCACACGCACTGGTCTTGATCTTCTCAGTCTTCGTGTTTCGGTGGAGTACAGTCACCTCTTCGTCGAGCAACACAAACAATCGCACCCGACATATGCCGACGGATCAGGATGTCAAGTTTGACCAGTGTAGACACCAACCTTGAACGTGCGGAATCAATGTCTTCTGTTGCGACGGCAGGCCTTACAGCTGCAAGCCTCCCCGGGTGACCCACTATCGTCTAGGCCTACAAGGGTTCCTCCCAGGTTCAGCCGCGGCAACACACGCGGCGCGCCCAGCAGCAACAACAACGTCGGTCGGTCGGAATTTGACAGCAGCAGCAGCACCAGCGGGGGACTGGGTGGTGCTTGGAGAACAGGGGGAACATCATCGCCATCACCGGCATCTCCAGGGATTCACGCCGCCATAAGCGATACCGTGGTCGACGACTTCGGCGGCAGTGAGAAGGTGCCCCTCCAGGAGCGGCTGCAAGCAGCCCCGACTTTTCTACGGGACAAGGCCGTCGACCTGCGAGAGGATGCTCGTGACCGCGTGCAAGACATTCGGGTGAGCGTTTGGAATCACCTGTGCCTTACAAGCACAGTAGTCTGGTGGAAACTCATTCCTTGGCACTTCCTCGCCAAATATCAAGAGGAGACAAATACCTCCGCCGGTGAACGGTTAATCACCATTCCAGGGACCCTTACTCGTCACAGAGAAAGGGTATTTTCACTTCTGGTAACAAAAACGCGAGAAAATCAGCGATAACATTGCTCAGCGCGCTTTCTACATGGACACAATGTAGCTACTGCTGTCGCACGACGTGTGAAACCTCTCAGTGCCTTGATATATCCTGGTTTCCACAGAAGTCGCTCTTCAAACCTGGCGGATCGAGTTGCGAGGTTGTATTCGAGCTTGAACACAATTCCACAAAATAAGTGTTGGTGCAAGCATCTGTGACGCCAGAATACACTTTCGACTGACTCAAAACAAAAACGGCATGGCCCCCCACCGACTTCTTCTCCTCGCACTCACCACCGTTCAACGCACACACCCTCCCGCCCCACCAGGAGGGTCTAGCGACGGTGACGAGCTCCATCAACTCGGACTACGTCGCGCCCTTGGCCCACCTGGCCCGCAACCCTTCCACCATCCACTACACCGTGGCCATGTCGGCACGCCTCTGGTACTTCATGGCGCAGCAGTCTCTCATCTCGAGCACGGTCGGCGGGAAGATGTCCGTTGATCCCGTCGCGCTGTCTCGCGCGATACTCGCTGCGCTGGCGGGCGGGCGGGAAGAGCCCATCCTGGAGGCCATGCGCATCATCCCCGATGAGAAGATCACGTCCACGGAGAGCTATGCTTGGTGGTCGCGAAACCTCAAAGGCATTGTTGCCGTCATGAAGTGAGTTGAGCGTCTCTACGAAGCACGGGATTTTTTTGCGTCGGGACTGCATGCAGCTACCCAGCGTGACCGTTGTAGGGGGTGGTTGGTGGCACACAGCATTGTCGACTTTGAGCACTCTCGGTGTTCTCGCGGCTTGTACTCTTGTGCTGCAGAATAACTTCCCACGGGAACCAAAGGCATTGGAACCCACGTGCTCATGAGAGTCGTACCAATCTCTTCCTGGTGATGTCAATTAAGCTACATTGCAGCTCCAACCTGCTCACAGGGACGCTCATTTGGACATTTGTCTCGACGCTAGAACGTGTTGCCGAAGGAAGTTTCGCATACAACCCACAGCCTCGAGAGGATATTTGCTGTCCCTTGCCCCTCCCAACCCCGCCGGCCCTCGTTTCCTTTCGATCGCCATGCGGTTTAATTGTCCGTCCAACCTGGTACAGACCTTTCGATAAAACCTTTGAACTCGACCGCTTCTCTGATTGATGCATGAATGTGAAAAAGACGCGAAGCCACATCCATCGAGAGTGGCGAGTACAAGCTACCGTACGACATGAGGATCATCGAGGCGATGGGGCTGCTGAGGTACAACCCGGCGAAAATGCTGGTGGCATTCTCCACCTACTACAGGGATGAGCTCCAGCGGAAGGTAATGGCAGGAAAGGCCCGCGTGTTTTTCGAGCCACACGAACCCAAGATGTTGAATGATCACAAAAGAGAAAACAGCAGAAACACAGATCTCTGTGTTCCTTTCGGTCGTTATGAAGCTCTGATTGCGAGTCAAGCGGACGTGAATCCTCTTTCTCGCGGAGTCTCCCTAAGGGTCTAGGAGGACCCGGCAACAGCTAGCGTTGTTCAGCCTTGATGTCGCCGTCGTATGCTAGGGATATCTCAAGCATCTCGGAGCCCCTCCCTGCCCCCTATCATCAGTGGTTTTCCCGTCTGGAATGTTTGAGCTGAATACGCGTAGTCGCGTGGCTGGCGGTTATCTGCGATTGACCTTTAATAGAATATAATGCAAGCTGCACGTACAGTAGTTCACAGTTCAAAATGAACCGCACGAATCGCACGAGCGGGGAAATGTCGCTGCCGCCCTGTAACTCCTCTTGTTTGTGGTGCGCCGACCCTTCGTCGTGGACAGCGGCTATGACTACCCTTGTACCTCCCCACCACACCACAATGGTAGAGGGGACTGCTTGTACCAGTACCAACATTGCCTCGATTCCTCCTCAATTCTGCACCGACCAAAGCTGGTGCAAGCACAGCATGCCACCGCGCCTTGTCGCTTTTTCCCGCCGCAATTTGTTTCGCCTCCCGTGGGTGCCTTTGGCAGAAGGCGAGCGCGAAAGCGGAAGACGATTTTCCCTCCCCGACCTTCTCCGCGCCCGGGCGCTACCCGGAGTACTTCCTGGCGAAGGAAGACCTCCTGTCGACCAAAGGCTCGCAAACAATGGACTACAACATGGAGTCCAAGGTTGGTATTTTTCAATAGGAGGTGTCCAGAGTTATGCCTTTCGCAATGGCAGCAGCATGTCTAAATACGAAACGAATTATGTTGTTGTTGTTGTTCCGGTCTTCCCAATACAAAAAATGTTCCGATCTCTGCTCAACACCTTCTGACATATGTGCGAGAGAAATAACGACCGACCAAAGCGCCCGTGGGAGAGAGAAAAAGTGCTTTGAAGTTGATCACGACAAGAAAAATAAACAGCCACAGAGCAGCAGGGCAGACTACGTTTTAGGATCTACTTGGTGCTACATGAAATGCAGCCAGCGTGGTGTCTCGCACGTCTCTCTTCGCGTTCTTTCAGTCCCATGAACGACGTGCTCCGCCGAGAAGAGGGATCGAAGCGCGTAGATACCCGCTGCTTCCGGAATGCCATTACACTCATCGTTTCCCTCCCCATCGTATGCAATACCTTGCTTCGCTAGATGTGGGGCATGGGCGATGCCATGCGCCGGCGATCGATCCTGCGCATCGGGCGTGCGTTAGCCGACAAGGACCCTGAGACCGCATCCCTCCTCGACGTAGGCTGCGGCACCGGCAGGTTCCTGACCTTCGTCAAGGTAGGCGAAAAGGTTCCAAAATCCTTCTTTGAGAGAACTCTGGCAACCCGCCGGTTCGGCCGAGTTCTGACGCAACAAAGGGCTGTGTAGCACTTTACATGGCAGGTTGCACTGACGCTGAATCAGGAAGTGCTCGAGATTCGGCGCAGAGAACAACAGGGTACTCAGCTTTGTTCTGGCACATTTTGTGGCTCCCCCTGCCTCGTCCTTCGGCCTTGCCGTTGTCCGCCCCGCCATCGTTCCCAACTCCCCGGGACACCTGGGGTGATTGCATTGAACGTCCGAAAACACCGTCCTGTGTTTGGCGATCTCAGAACAACTTCGAGACGCTGAAGGTCACCGCGCTGGACCTCTCCCTCTTCAACCTAAGGATGGCTAAGCAAAATCTTAACGGGGTCGAAGGCGTGACTTACGTCGAGTCTAACGCGGAACACATGGCTATCGAGAACGAGTCCCAGGACGTGGTCACCTGCAACTTCGTCCTGTCCACCATCCCCAAAGAAGCCGAGGTAACACATAGAACAAGGGCGGCAGCTAGCTATTGTGGGTGTATCGAAGGCGGCGTGGTGATGTGCAGGCGGAGAGTAGTGTTTGTGGGTATCAACTGCAGCCGGAGAATTTTCCCTTCTTTTTACCCAGCATGGTCAGCTGCGGTCAAAGGGAAGATGTACATCTGGAGGGTCATGCAGTTGGTGATTTCGCCCCGCTACCGCCCCCCCGCCCCCCACGGTGTATGCGCGGACTCCTGTGGGGATTGTGTACATTGTGCCTTGACCGAGGGCAATGGTGCCGCCGAGATGCTCAGTAAGCCGCGTGTTGGAAACTACTCGGAGCGTTCACGGTCCGGCAAACGTTTTCTTCAAGTAGCGTGCTCCTGATGCTTTGGTGCAAGAGCCAGTGATGATCGTTTCTGTCTCCGCCATCGCCTCCTGCGTCAGTATGCGCACGGTCGAGGCCGCCTCCACACTAAAACCAAACAAAACTAACTTCACTACATGGACGCTCATGTCTCTCGTGCGTTTTCGTCTTCCTGCCGAACCTTTGCAAGACAAACGTTATCAATGAGATCGCACGCACGCTCAAGCCCGGCGGCAAGGCCATCGTGGTCGACGCCACTCAGCCCGAGTTCGACGGCGCGGGGGTGTGCACCCTCGACAGGCTGCCATCATGGGGACAGATGACCCCGACCTACCGAGCGTACCTCAAGTCCGACTTGGAGTACAGCCTCATTAAAGTGAGGCTGAGGTGGGGGGGGTGGGAGGGGTGAGAGGCGGGTGATGGAGGGGGCGACGTTGAAAAAGATAGTGGGCGATAGAAGTAAATGAAGAGAGAGAGACCAACTCACAGAGACAGGGACGGGCTCATGGCAGTGAGACTAAGTTGTCCGACGGTAGAGACACGCTCGCTAGTGCGAGGAATTTCTGACACCAAACAACTGGTATCGGTTCCGTACCATGGTATTGAGCCGCGTTTGTTTACGTGTTCTTGGAGTATACGCCACGTACGGTGTACCACATGAGTGTGCAGGTTTTGTTGGGCGCAAGTAGAAGGAAATGAAGAGAGAGAGACCAACTCACAGAGACAGGGACGGGCTCATGGCAGTGAGACTAAGTTGTCCGACGGTAGAGACACGCTCGCTAGTGCGAGGAATTTTTGACACCAAACAACTCGTATCGGTTCCGTACCATGGTATTGAGCCGCGTTTGTTTACGTGTTCTTGGAGCATACGCCACGTACGGTGTACCAGATGAGTGTGCAGGTTTTGTTGGGCGCAAGTTTGGTGCCGCATGATGGCAACGAAAGCCGAACTTCGGGCACCCCATGAAGTGCGAAAGTAGTAAATGATCCACCATGCTCGAAAGCTCCCGCCAATGCCCCCCCCCCCTGTCCCCCTCGGCCCTCTTCTTCTCACGCTTGTCCTAGGCCGGGCTCTTCGTGCAAGACAAGGAGATCAACTGGGTGTCCAAGGTTATCGTTGCTCAGAAGCCCCCTCGGCTCAGCGCGCCTTCCACGCACGGAAGGCTCATGGGCGTCGGCTCATGAGCTGGAGTACTTCCTTCCACTAATACCGCAGCTCCAGCACACCACCCCACAAATCTATCACAGCGCCCGCTTCCACCGGGACAGCCTGACGTAGATATCGCTTACGTGAGCAACAAAGGTAGTGCCAACGCCTTCAGTGGACAGGGTCGGGATAGGGAGCGGGGGAAAGCCCTGTACAAGTAGGTGTTGCGGACAGTGATGCCAGGTAACCCCCCCCTTGTGACGATCATTCGTTTGTGCGTACCTTTTTCCGTTTAATGGGAGGGGGTAACCTCTAGTAACACAGCAGAGGCATATGGTTGGTTCGACGTGGGGAGTGCGATTTTCGGTGGGGCTACAAGACGCCAAATACGGCTCGGTGTATTTCCAGGTCTGGGAAAGAAGATCACAGCATTGGTTAGGGAGAGCGTTTTTCGCACTAGAGAGGACGTGCGCCGCATAACGAGAAATCAGTAGCGTGGCGTAAGCCAACGAGATTGGATGGTGGCAAGATTGTGTTGTTGACCCATGCTGTTGGGCAAAATGCGCACCATACATTCGTTTGTGTAGGGAGCACCGAACTCGGATGATGAGGTTGACACACCGAACTCGGATGATGAGGTTGACACCATCAAACGTGTATGCAAAGTACTCCATAGATCAAGTAGAGATGTAATGTTCGTTTGAGGTCGACTTCGGGTGCACGTCTGACGCACACGGGCAGTTTTTCTTGTAAGATGAGAGCAACGGAGAGCTGGAAAACTTGTTTCTTCTCAGCGAAGCGAATTGAATTTGTACCGTGAACACAAAAGACGTGCTTGGTTGAATCTCTACAGAACTGCGTGTCAATATTGTCCGGAGTACGGTTGTCCGTGGAGTGTTGCTAAAGCATGCTTTTACGACCGCTGCTCCTCTAGTATCAAGTTCGCAAAAAATGGTACAAGCAGCATCTTTCGGACGGCCACACTTGGAGCAAAAAGCCCTTCGTGGACCGCAGGGCGCCAGGATACATCCTTGAAGAGAATGGCGCGATCGCGGAAGAAAGCGGCGCTTTTAGTATCGAACACGCGCCCTCGTGCTATCAAGATAAGAGTGCTTCGTTCGAGACACCTCCCGATTCGACGATCATAGCAAGTGCAACAAACTGCTCTAGCGGCTATGATTTTAAGGTTATCCCAGATGCCCTATCACGTCGCCGCATCGTACAGCTAGGTATCGGGAGCAGGGGAAACGGTTCCACAATTGTCAAAATTGAATTTTCTAGCTCGAACCGCCAAAGCGATGGCGTCACAATACGCACGAATGTTCTTGAGACCGTAGCCGAATACGAGCACACACATCCAGCCAAGGATCCACCCCCCCGGCCCCAAAACGTCACTCCAAGTGATCGTCAGATTCGTCGGCATTTACTATAAACAAGGCCCAAAAGAGCGCGCACCACGGTGACTCGAATTATGTGCGTGTACCGCACAACACACACCAAAAGCCAAACGAAGAAGTCGTCAAAGTGAAAGTCATTACCGCACTTAAGCGTCACCTCCTCTATTGCATTCCTCACCGAAAAAATTGCCCACACCCAACATGCACCAGTTACCGCCGTTATTCGCTTGGAGCAACACAAGCCACAACGACCACACCGACTCTCCCCTCCCCGCTCAAATCAGCCCTCGTCTTGGCGACACCTGTTTTTCTTTACAGGGCCCACGATGGACGGTCCGTTGAGAACACGACCGTTCTACCTTGCCATTCGAACTCTATTCGCGCAGCCTGCAGCGCGATCGCCTCCGGCTCCTGCCCAAACCTAGACGTGTCATCGTCTACCCTCAACCCCCGGTGCACGCGCCCCACGACGCCGCGATATCGAGTATCGCCCACGATTGCCGACCCCATCGCCGCCAGCTGCAACCGCAGCTGGTGCGTCCGACCCGTCTCGAGCTCCATGGCGCAGAGGTGGGGGACATGGGCCCCTTCTTCCCGTGCTGCTTCTGCCGCCGTGGCTGCTTCGGCATCGGGAACGGTTCTTCCGTCCTCCTCCACTCGTCCCTCTCCTCCTCGCGCGGCCGCCACCATTTCTTCCGGCGAAGACCCCGAACCAAGCCCCAACCCCGCCGCCAGCTCTGCCTCCAGCCTCGCCGCCGCGCCGGCCGCCGATTCTTCCAGGGCTCTCGCGGCCGTCTCCGCCCGCTCGCGGTCCTCCGCCACCGCGGCGGCGCTCGCCGAGCCGGTGGCGGGGGCGCAGAGCAGGACCGTCGACCTCGCCTCTTGCCATGCGCCCCCCCACTTGTTGCCCGCGAGAAGCTCCTCGTCGAAGTCGGCGTATATCCTCGGCCGGCGAGACCCGTCGAAGGCCTTCGAACGGCAGCAGTGGGCCATCGAACCCGTCGGCACGGGCGGGCCAGGGGTGAGAAGGGCCAGGTACCGTTTCTTGACCCGCCTGGCACGGAACAGCTCGTTCAGCTGCTTCGCGGCCTCCTTGTGCCTCGCGAAGACGACGATCCCTGACGTGCAGACGTCCAGCCGCGACACCGCGTGCAGAGGCGGGGGTAGTGACCGCGACGCGGGGGGCATGCCCGCGACCGCCAGGCTTGCCTGGAACACGCAGTTCTGCACGCCGTTGTCGATGGTCGGGACCGTCGGCACCCCCGCGGGCTTGTCGACGACCACGAAGTCTTCGTTCTTGTGCACGATCCGCTTGCGCCAGTCCGTGACCTGCGACGCCGGGAAAGTCCGGGGGTCGCAGTGAACCCGGAGGTAAGCACCGTGGGGCGGGAAGTTGCCGCTCTCCCAGGGGTGCAGACGCCGCAGTCTCATGTGCTCGAACGAAGTCCCGCGAAATGGCGCCTGATCGGCAGACTTCAGCGCCTTCTTCCTAGCGGCCGCGATCGTCATCTGCTTCTCCTTGCTGGGCGCATGTCTCCAGTTGGTGTCGACCACCTCGCCGATGTAGACGCTTCCAAATTTCACCAGCTCTACCCCACGATCTCGACTGACGGCGCCGAAGTGCGAGACGAGCTCGGCTATCGTAGCCCGCTGCTGCTCACTCCCCTGTTCCTCGTCGTCCTCAAGCCAGGGCGGAGGTGCACCCGGCGTTGCGATGTGGACTACTCGATGTTCTCCTTGGTAGGTCGTCTCCGCCGAGCATCGTTCGGCTAACTCTGTCACTGCCGCACTGCTGCTGGCGATGGTAATCGCATCGTGCTGGTGATGTGTCATCATGCTGCTGGGGACAACGCCGGCAGTTGGTGACGCAGGTAGCAGAGGAGTAACGCTCCCGCCTGCTGCTGCTGATCGACGACCGAGCTCGACCCGAACCCCGACGAAAGCCCGGCTCGGGCACCAAGAATTTGCAGCAGCAGCCGTAAGCAGCAGTCCCTTTAGCATGATGATCCAGGCGCTGTGTAGGCGCAGTTGAACCGCAACTGGCCGCAGACAGCGACCGGTTTGCACTTTGTCGCGTGTGCCGCAAAATCGCAAAGATCTGCGAGGAGAATCAGTGACAATGCCCTGTGTAGCAGACCGAAAGCCAGTCCGGGAGGCAGCTGGGATGACAGAGAGAGGGAGAGGCGAGCGAGAGCTGCTGTGGAGAGTTTGTGAGGACAGCTGCTCCGTGGCTCGGGGGGGGGCATCGCACAACAGGATCTACCAAACACGTACCCTACCACAGCACGCCAAAACCCCCCGCATCAGCATGCCGCCGACTCTCGTGCATGTTCACATGTCACATTGCTCTGCTGCACCGACTTATCCACGACGAGAGCGAGAGCGGCATACCCAGAGATGCGCCGGCGAGGTGTGAAGGGAAGACTAGGAACGGTCGCTCAGAGCTTTGCCATGCATGGGCACAGCGGGCTCGCCATCGTTGCGGCAGCAACGCTGATGACCGCGAGGACGGGTATCCGTACCGCAACTGCTGCTGCTGCTGGAGATGGTCCTTTGCCTCCGCCGCGTGGTGGCCCTATCCAAAGACCCCAGGCATCTTCACGGCCATCGCCGGATCCACCAACGTGGGCGGGCACGTGGACAGAAGGCCCTTTTTCCGACGACAGCCGAGATACCAAGCCGCCATTACGGACGCCACCCGAACACCTGGAAGCAGACTTCTCGTGGGAGCCTGAGGGCAGAAGAACCAGCAGGACCGAAGGCAGCATGGGCGTGAGCAGAGCCAGGAGGGTGCGAAGAAAGGGCTTCATCGGACCGACAGCGGCAGCGCGAGGTGATACTTGCCCGCGAGGTGATACTTGCCCGCGAGGTGATACTTGCCCCGACGGCGGCTCCAGGAGTGGCACCGGCAGCGTGGCGGCAGCGAAGATGATCAGAGGAGGAGGAGGAGGAGGAGGAGGAGGAGGAGGAGCTGGGGTAAGACGGTGGTTCGGGGGGCGCAGCAGCGACGACGGCCGGTATGACGAGTTCCCCGATGACTTCGACTACGACTCGGCAGCCGACGATGATGAGGACGAGAACAGCAGCAGCAACGCGGGGGACGGCAACAACGCCTTGTTCTGCTGGCCTGAGGACGAGGAAGAAGCCGCAGCGCTTCTGGCACAGGAAGGGGAGGACTCGATATCGGAGCTGGAACTGAAAGACGGCATCTCGTTGGCAGCGGAGAGTTCGCTCTTCCATCAGCAGCAGGAGCAAGGCACCGACGGCGGCAGCACTAGCGGTAGCCTACCGGATCGAAGGCGCGTGTCGGGGGCTGGGTTCCGAAAGAGCCGGGTGGGGGAAGAGGAGAGGCGTGCTGGTACAGCGTCGGGGCCGTCTCTAGGGGGTAGGACTGCTGCTGCTGCTGCTGCGGCTTCACGAGCGTTGGAGAGGTGAGTGTGCATGCATGGGTGTGTACAGGCATGCGCTCAACGCCAAGAGGGACCCCTCCTGGTGTCTATGCATGCCCCGCTTTCGCTGAAAATGGTCCATATGAGCTTGGAAGCTTTCGTCGTGCGGCGCGCACATGCGGGGAGAGGCTTGTGCGTGGGGTTGTTCCTTAACAACGCTGTTCCCGTGGACTCCGGGGGGCCGATAGCCGTTTTGTTCCGCCAGCCACCGCTGCTGTCATGTAGGGACACGCGGTCGATGGACACAAGTTGCCCTCGCTTTCGAGTCGAAGTCAATCTATGATTCCATGTCCGTATCTTGAGCGTTACTTTTCACTCATGTCACGCCAATCATCAGTGCTCCGCTGATTGTGGAATCAATAACCGAGTCGCACTTTGTTAGCCTGTGACTACGGGAATCGACCGCGTCAAGTATTGGACTCGTACGGACAGATGAAGGTACTGGGTAGATAGATCGGAAAGGTTCTTAATGTGAAGACAGCAGCAACTCTGTCGAAAGGCCGCAACCACTCCGTGGCGAGTGTATTCTTCTTTGGCCCTCACGCAGTACAAGGACAACGCGATTTTTTGGAGACCTACATCGCCGTTACTATCACGCCGAATGTAGGCATCACCCACACGTCTTGAGTGAATACAACCTCCGCCTACCATACCTGAACACATCTTCCCTTATCCCTCTCCCTCCCCCCCAAAACTTTTGACGTTGTTCCCTACCACTCTCTACAGCAGTACCGCCGGCAGCGCTCCGCTCCCGTTATTGACAAACCCCGCCGAAGACGAATTCACGCCTCCCTCTGCGGAACCCTCCGCCGCGAGAGGCGAGCTAGAAATCGTGCCCCCCGACGACGGAGATGAGCCACGTCCGGGTGGGCGTTGGCAGCGCCAGCGCTCCGTACTTGGCGCTGTAGTCAGCGCGTTGATGGGTGCCCTGGGGTTGAAGCTTTGGGAAGGGTTGGTGCGAGGCGGCGCTAGCGCGGAGGCGCCCGCCGCCGCCGCCGCCGAGGTTGAAGGAGGGGTGAGCAGGGGCGGGGCAGAGGAGGAGGAGGAGGCGGCGGTGGCGGCGGCGGCGATGGAGGAAGAAGCTGCGTTGCAGCAGGAGAAGATCCTGGCGCTAGAGAATCAGTTGGCGGTGAGGAGAGACAAGGGACGGTGATGGTGGTTGTCGTGTTATTCTTGTTCGTGTGCATAAGTGTTTTCTTTTTTTGTGTTGACGGGGGAGTCTATTTTGGACTATTTTGGCCTTGGAACGTACGCGCGACCACCGACAAGGCTATGGTGAGAAGGGGTGCAGTTTGTGGCTGCAAATGCTGCCTGGGCGCGTTCTCCATGTGCGTTGGTTTCTCGCTCACGGAGGACTGCGGGTTTTGCTAAGTTGGTGTGATGAATGCATGCCCTCTCGCCGCAGTACCTGGAAGAAGACCGGCGGAGGGCGGCGTTGTCAGCGAAGGAGGCGAGGTCAAACAGGCGGAAGGACGATCGACAACTCAAGGAGTACGTCCACACGCTAGAGGTTCACCTCGATCAGGTACAGCAGTAAACACTCATTGTGGAATCTTGGGTGTTGGCATGCTCAATGCTGCCTCAGTGGCAAGTGGCAGTACTGTGTCTTGTGATGGTCAGGGCACAAGCACATACGGATTCCTACAGTACGTATGGCCGGCGTTGAGTACACTAACATGCTTCTTGAGCAGGCCGGCCCTTGTATGATGAATGCATGCACCCCTCTCAAGGGCGTAGGCTGCTACTGTATACGTGCGGTCGCTCGCTCGCACCCCCAACATAAAACCAATTTCGAAGCGCGATTGCTCCGCAACCAATAATACGAGAACGGACCGATACGTGCAAAGAACGGCTGTAGACGAGATCTTCCAGCACAGTCCCACCCGACATTGGCACCCTCGTGGGTGGGGAGCAATCAAGCTGTTAAATTCTGTCTAGAAGGTTTGCCATCACTCCCACTCTTACGGTAGGCTAGAATGCGACGACGTGCTGTATAGATCGCAACGTCACTGTGGATCGTTTCATGTTAGGCAAATATTTTTTGATGCTGGCTACGTGTTTGGTCATGAATTGATACAAGAAAGAACAAGTAGAAAAATAGCACCAGCAGCAGCACCACCAACAACAACAACTGGAGGTGACGGCACGTCCTCACCCCATCCTTCGGCCACAACTATACCAACAACATCACCACAAACAATACAAGCAGCGACAACTAGGGATGACCACGTGCTCTTGCCTCACGACACCGTCTCCTCTCCTCCCTCCCTGCTCCTCGGCCTTGCCCTCCTCATCCGCCTCCTTCTCGTCATACTCTGGATGGGCTGCTTTTCGTTTTACGAAAAACTGCAGCTTTCCAAGGAGAAGCAGGAGTCCAAGACGGCGATGCTAGAGGTCGTCAGGGCCGAAACTGCGAAGGCTTTGAAGCAGGTGAGGTTTCGTCCTTGTCGTTGTAGGCGACTCGTGGTTTTCGTCAAGCATGGCTTTGGAGAGATCGGAGAGAAGTTTCGTCGTATTCTACACGGGGTGTTCTGTTTTTGCTCAGCTTGACGTGGTTTGTAGCGAGTGGTCGGCGGTAGGTGTTGGCGTGTATCTCTCAGGGGGGAGGAGTTTTCGCAACGACGGCTATAACCCCTCACCCGCGCCCAACGAACTCGCTAGCTTGCCGATGCACGACGACCAAACACCCATGACTCCCTACCGATCATCGCAGGGGAGCCACGCTACCGCGGCTGCGGCGGAAGCAGCGAATGAGGAGGTGCGACAGGTGAGGGCGGAGTTAGAGGCTGCGCAGGCGTTGCTAGAAGAGGCCCTGAAGGAGAAGGCGGTGGCAGTACAGGAGAAGGCCGCCGGCGACGCGCTCTTGAGGACCGAGCAGGGGAAAAGAGGTGAGTACAGTAGGGTCCTTGGTCTCTTGTTGCTCCCACTGCTGCTGCTGCTACTGCTGCTGCTTGGCTTTGTTGCGTGATGCGGCCCCCTCTCTCTTGTTGTACGATTTGTGTTCGGGGCGTTTTCGAAGTCACGTGGAGTTCGAGAGGCAGGAGATGTCGTCGTCAACTTTCGGTGTTATTGTTGTTGGTGTTGTTGGTGTTGTTGGTGTTAAGTGCTGGTGGTGGTGGTACGCCCCGGCTAGGGGATTCTACATCACGGCGATTCGGCCACAATAACTGTAAGTATTGCGGCGGCTCCGTCACAATTGTGTCCACGAGACTGGGAGGTTGTTGTCGCAGTTGTTTTTAGGCAGGCGGGACTTGTTGTCTGTGGGGTGGATCCACGTGAACACATGGGATGACTTATATATATATATATATATATTCGTCGATCGCGCGTGCCGAATTGTGCAAGGACAGATGTGGCCGATGCAAACACGTTTTCTGGTTATTAACAAGCGAAACGACCAAGGTTCTTGCCCAAAGAGCCCAAGCGCGCGGTCTCGTTGTTGTGCTTGAGACTGTTGCTATTGCTGTGCTGGAACAACACCTTGTGCCTTTGAGCTATTGAGATCATGAGAAGGACGCGCGAGTCAGTGGTCGTGTTCCCAACCAGCACGGCTGTGGTGGCAATGGTTGTCGGATGCACGCACACCTTGGTCGTTTTTTTTTTAATGTATTTTTAGGTGTGCTCGTGTCAAGGGATAATGAAGAATAAGGGTGGAATAAGCCGTATCAAACCTTTTTTCATACGAACAGACACATGAAGCGTTTGCGTGAGAAAACTTTCACAACAAACAGTCGCGATAGAGGGAGGGATGAG